AAAGCGCCGCAGTACTTGGGCAAACGGTATCCCTCTACAAGCATTTTCCGAAAATTGTCGCCTTCCGCCATACACCCGTTGTTTTCTTGGCCGTCACTATACCTTTGTATACAGCAAAAAGCCATTTTCGGAAGCTCTTCGGCCTTAAACAACAAAGAAAGCCTTCCACCCACTCACTAGCTGAATAATGGACAGTATGAGTTCTTGAATTTGAAGTTGGTTGAAGTTACAGACCAATGTTCGATGTAGATCCAGGTGAAAGAGAAACCTAGATTAAGAGCTTGAAGTTAATTCTATAAACCTGTTTTCTAAAAAATACTATTTATCAATCTCTATTAGGTTGGTGAGCATTTTCTTCTTTCTCATTGTCAGTGCTACCCACTGAAGACAGATTCGCCACGCATTGAAGTTACTAAAATTAAGTCCTCTGATCCACTGAAAATAAGATAACTAAACTCTCACTATAGTGGAACAAGTTTCCAAAGTGTTTTTTCATATCTCCTATAGCTGTGTGGTGGACATGCCGCGACGCGGACCGCCCCGCAGCCAGCTACCTAGATTTAGATGGCGCCGTTGTACAAGAAACTATTGACGGGAAAAATGACAGTGAGAAAATAACGAGCGAGCGCAGGTAGTAGGTATCGTGGTGACAAACTGACTTTCCAACTAAGGAAAAGGAATTCCTGTAAATTAAAATCATATAAGCTAAACTCGCATGCTAAGAGTTAAAGGTTTACTAACAATCCAATGCGATCTTGAAAGCATATAGTTCCAGAAATTTTATGGGAGAAAAGGAATGGAGATTTTCTTCTTGTGACTTCAACAATTTTAATGAAGGTCCAAAATCATTCGGATGGTGAGATTACAGAACTATGTAGTAGGGGGACGGTCATTACTTGTAACAATAACGCAAGCACCGCGCACGGCAAAAGCGAACAGCGGCGGTCGCATAACTCGGATACATCGTACAGACTCATGCAAGGCAACCTTAGTAGATTAGAGCGCTTTGACTTTGAGCAGTAAAGCGTTTGACTCCGAACAAAATTCGAAAGATTTAAGCGAGGAAATATGTCTTGAAGACGTAAAGGCGTACTACGATGCCGAAAATGTATGGAACCCATTAAAACATGACACTGAAAACTTCAACTCGTGGAATTGAAATGTTTCATTCTATAGACAAGAGGCTGTTGTACCAGAAGGGGGGAAGTCGAAAAGAGAAGAACACGACGACAGTTTTACAATCACCTGATTATTCTTTCAAACAATTT